GGAGCCCGATGCGGGACTCGATCCAGGGACTCCAGGATCATGACCTGAGCCGAAAGCAGTCGCTTAACCAACTGAGCCACCCAGGCGCCCAAAATTTATGTTTCTTAATAATGACTGTTCTGGCTTTAGAATATGTATAGTAGAAAGCCAAAGGTTTCTAAGATACACATTACAGCAGCAAGAAGTGAAAGAGAAGGTTCATAATGGAGAATGGTCAGAACATATTTATTTAATGAAGTTAAGGTTAAGAAAGAGGTTAAATCTGTCCTTGCCTATGTTCTCTATTATCTATCCTTCTGCAATCAAAGCACATGACATAGAAGATGCCCCCTCATTCTCCCTTCTCCTCAACCTCTCAACCAGGGACCAGACAAGTGGGCCTCAAATATGTGCACACACAGTAACAATTCTGTAAAGCCAAGATTAAAATGTATTTTTTATTATAATTAATTTCAACTTTAAGAGGAATTATATTAATAACATAACCAAAAATAACTGTTAAACACAATAAGGACACTTACTTATCAAATTTGTGGATCTGTTCTTCATTATAAGCTAATCCTAAAAGTAAGAAATATTACTTCTGTAAATGTAGAATCACAAAATCATGCACACTTCTTTTTCTTTTGAGATTATGACTTCAAAAAGACTAAGAGTTTAGAGTAGATGACATAAACTCATGACCCATGGGTTAGATATACAGCTCACAAATGCTTTTAATTGATCTGTACAGTGTTAACATAAAAAAAATTAACTGCCAACATTTAAAAATCAGGATATTTCTTTCTTTTGAAGACTTATTTACTTATTTAAGTACTCTCTACACCCAATGTGGGGCTCAACCCATGACCCCGAGATCAAGAGTCGTATGCTCCACTGACTGAGCTATGTGCCCACAAGATATTTTTAATAAAATCTGTATTTTCAGCTTCTCTTGAGAATAGGAAGATTTTTGGGCAATGACTTTGGTGAATCTGAGTAGTGACTCTCCCCTTCAGATGGGTATTTCCTCTCCTATCGTCCTCAGTCTCCACTGGCCAATTTCATTCCTTTCTGTTACATGACCGGTCTCTAGAGATTTTAGAGTTCAGGACCCTTAATTTAAAATATTCAAAAAGTCGGTTTTAAGAATAATTTTTAGTATATTCAATCTCTTTCCCAATAGAATCAAGTCTATGAAATAAATAAGGAGCCACCCTTATAAATATACCAAATTAATTCAACTGAATTACAACTAGTAGAGCTGATTCATTAGATTAACAAATGGCAAACTTTACTTACTTCGTTCTGCTTTGTCTTTTTTGAACTGATAGTAAATCTCTGTGATGCAATTTAGCAGGACTTGTAGCTTTTCTACACTATGTAGGGGAAAAAAATCCAAATAAATTAACTGAGTCAATGTGCAAAGGACATTTAATAATAAGAGCGGAAGCTACCAATAAAATTATATAACCTACTGTCTATCTTTTGGATGAGTGCCTTCTTGATGGGCCCATGTATCTGCCAGCAGACCACCTGGAGATAATTTGCCTTCGATATCCTGAAGACTGGTTTCTATTGTTCCCTGAGAACTGGAAAGCTAAATAAAACCAATGGGTTGAGATTCAGATTAGCAAAATACAGAAATGATACATTGCCAAAGGAGTCTAAAGTCTTAATCATACTGCTTTTGTGGATTACGTCAATTCAAAGTCAGAAAAATTATTTTTCTTTTTAAAGGCAAGGACAGTTTCTTGGTTAGATTTTTCCATAAAGAGTATTATATGATAATAAAATATGAGATTAACTAGTATTAATACATTTTATAAAACATTTCTTTTTTAAAGTTTTTTTTTTTTTTTTAAGATTTTATTTATTTATTTGACAGAGACAGTGAGAGCAGGAACACAAGCAGGGGGAGTGGGAGAGGGAGAAGCAGGCTTCCCGCCAAGCAGGGAGCCCGATGTGGGACTCGATCCCAGGACTCTGGGATCATGACCTGAGCCGAAGTCAGCCGCTTAACTACTGAGCCACCCAGGCACCCCTATAAAACATTTCTTACATTAAATATCCTTTCTTAAAAAACATACAAAATCCTTTCATTCAATTAACCTTGTTTCTTTACCTGTAAAATATGGTTAACAGTCTATATCTCATAGAGTTGTTATGAAAGTCAAATAGGAGAACCATGAGCATGGTCCCAATGACTGTCATCATTTTGTAAATACTTACTCTCAACAATTTGGTGTGTATGTCTGAAATTTCACCTAACTCTGCTGCTTCTAGGTTGATCTTCATCAGCTTTTCATATCTGTATGAAAAACAAGTATGGAAAAATTAAATGAGCACAATGAATATACAGATTTTAAAAGATGTTTTTATAAATTATATCTGAATTTTTATTATCATAACTATTTAAGAATAAAATACTGAATGCAAAGCCTACAAGCAACAGATTCCAAGAAAACTTGCTGTCTCTGTGAAGAAGGAATTTTATATACTTCTACTAACAAATTTTTATATGAGATAAAATAAAAAAGACAATTTCCAACAGTCTTATGCCAGGATAATAATCAAAATACTAGATTGCAGAGTGGTGGTCAATAGTACATACTGATTTCATTTACTGTATTTCCTCTGCAGTATAAATAATACAGCCTAGGAATAGGGAAATCTAAAATATCATTCTGTTTCAAAAAACAGTCTCAGGGATAAGATTAATTAATAAGTAATAATAAACTAAAAGTAATCCCCAAAGTCTATAAATACTACCAAAATACAGTTCTAGAATACCCCTTCCTACTTCCTTTGTTGACTGCAGTTTTTATATTTTCCTATTCAGAGTGTCTAATTTGCAAGGTTAAAAAATGAGATGTTTTTATGTCAGATTACCTTTTCCTTTGCAAAGGGTAGGAGAAAATGCCACCAAATGTTCATTTCTTGCTGAGACGACTAAATTTTGTCTTTGTGAGGAATTAACTTAATCTACGGTTGTATCTTAATACAAACACTTGCATAGCATATTGTATTATGCCAAGGATAACTAAATAATTAAAGAGAAATGGGACAATATTTAATATTAACCACTATTAGTAAGGAAGTAATCTACTCACACTTTCACAGTTTTTTCAATGTTTCTGATGCAGAAATCCAGTGTGATCACAACTTCTGTCTTTTTGTGAACAGTTTCATTATAATCATCTTTAACTAATTCTCTAAAAAATAATAATATTCTCATTAGTTTATCTAAGGAATGATTTGGTTTTTTAAAAAGGTTTTCTCTTGTTTATCACTAATTATACTGCTGTTACTACTGTTCAAACAAATTTATTAACAATCTTGTTATATTATGAAAGCCAATTCATTTTTTTCCCTCTTGGGCTGAGTCTTGCCAATTTACTTTTTATTACTGAAAGCATTATTGTGACCCCAACACTTATCCAGGGCACAAACCATTAATTACTACTTATTAAGTTAAGAGTTTGAAAATCTAAGGCATTAAAATTATATTAAGGAATAAAAGCGAATCTATAATCACATGAATAAGCTAAATAGCATTACGCTTTATATCACCAGAATTAATTTTTATTATTCATAGTAGATTATGATCTCTGAAGAAGCAGGATGTCATAGTAAATAAACTGGAGGGCTTTTGGTCTACATTAAGGGTCAACAAACTAAACTTGTTTTTGCTGAGAATGACATTTATATTTTCAAAGGTTGTAAAAACAAAGAAGAGATCTATGTGGCCCACAGAGTCTAAAATATTTACTAACTGAAAAAGTTTATCAACAGTGATCTACACTAAAAACTATTAAAAAAAAAAAAAACCAAACAAACCCCAAAACCAAAAAATAAAGCAAAAAACTATTTTCTCATGACTTCTTAAACTACAAGTTAATAGGTAAAAGAAATCGGGGCGCCTGGGTGGCTCAGTCGTTAAGCGTCTGCCTTCGGCCCAGGTCATGATCCCAGCGTCCTGGGATCGAGCCCCGCATCAGGCTCCCCGCTCGGCAGGAGGCTTGCTTCTTCCTTCCTCTCCCACTCCCCCTGCTTGTGTTCCTGCTCTCGCTATCACTCTCTGTCAACTAAATAAATAAAATCTTAAAAAAACAAAAACAATAGGTAAAAGAAATAAAAGCTTTATGGAGCAGTGACTGTGGTAGCTAACAAGAGCAAGAGAATACGAGAGCTGTTAGTAACAATACCACAAAAGTAAACAGAGTCAACACTTAAAGAGTTTTCTAGAAATTATTTAGTAAAAATGAAAAGGCTTCTTAATAGAAAGAGAAAAGCATAGGCTTACAAGCTGGATATGTGAACACCTAAAAAACCCCATCAATTTATGGATTTAACATAAAGGTGACAGGCAAAAAAAAAGTGTCATTCTTCTTTCTTCTTAAAGCACTAGCAGAACAGGAATGATGAAATGCTTCATACATGTTTTTGCAAGAAGGGAAGATTACGTGTGAGGCAGATATACATAAACTGTCACAAGCATTAAAGCCAAGGAGCATTATGAGCCCAGGGAACATGAAGCCATTACTAAGTGTATATAAAATTCAAAAGCCTCAAATCTGGAGGCATGATGTTCAAGGGAGACCATTTATTCTCTGCTTCTAGCAGAGGAAAGAAGGATCTACAAATCATGAAAAAAGAGCAAATTATATTCATCCACAAAATATTTCTTAGGGTTACTTTCAGGGGAAGAGAATACTTAACTAGATGATCAATATTCTGACCTAGAATAACTATATTAAGTGATTTAGTAAAAAAAAAAAGTAATTTCATTTTTAAAAAAGATTTTATTTATTTATTTGACAGAGGGAGAGAGAGAGCACAAGCAGGGGGAGCAGCAGGTAGAGGGAGAGGGAGGAGCAGGGAACCTGATGCGGGACCAATCCCAGAACCCGGATCAGGACCTGAGCTGAAGGCAGTTGCTCAACCAACTGAGCCACCCAGGTGTCCCACGTATAATTTCACTTATGTGAAAAGTCTAGAATAGGCAAATCTATATAGATAGAAAGCATATTTGTGGTTGCCTGGGGCTAGGAGGTTATGGGGGAAATGGGGAGTGACTGCGTATGGGTACAAGATTTCTTTTTGGGGTGACAAAAATATTCTACAATGAGTGGTGATGGCTACACAACTCTGTGAATGCACTAAAAATCATTGAATTATACACTTAAAAATGGGTGAATTAAACAGTATGTGAATTATAGCTCAATAATGCTGTTAGAAAAATAAAGTTGAGAGTATCCTTCATTTGGGAAAAAGGCAAGAAAGAAAGGAAGATTCTGAGGACATAAACTCTAGAACAAGTACAGATTGTACTGCATTATAACACCACCAAAGCCGGGGCAGGTGGGTGGCTCAGTCAGTTAAGTGTATGCCTTTGGCTCTTGTCATAGTCCTGGGGTCCTGGGATCGAGCCCCACATCAGGCTGCTCAGCAGGGAGTCTGCTTCTCCCTCTCCCTCTGCCTCTTCCCCTTGTTCGAGCTCTTTCTCTCTCTCAACTAAATAAATAAAATCTTAAAAACAAAAAAAACAAAAAATGACAAAGCCTACCAAGATAGTGAGATGACAGCCCCAGTCAAGGTCCTTGGAAAAAGATTTCATTTAACATCACATTGTACAGCGTGGCATTAAGTTTTAAAATTCAGATACTATTTGTCCTATCTGTCTCACAAGGTTGTTGTAGGACTCAAATGAAAAAATATACTGCTAAATGTGTTGTAAACTAAACGTGAAACAAATGTATTATACTAAAACCCAAGGGACACCTGGCTGGCTCTGCTGGTGGAGCATGTGACTCTTGATCTCAGGGTCATGAGTTCGAGCCCCACTACTGGGTGCAGAGATTACTTAAAAACAAAATCTTTAAAAACAAAACAAAATGAAACAACAAAAAAACCCCAAGCACTTGACCCTATGTAGTCTGAAGAGTTAAAGTATCTCCAAGATGGGGTGGTTACCACTTATTTTCAAATTTCAATCCATTACTTACATCAACCATCGTATTCCCTTTCGCATTAATTCCTGATAAAGCAGCAAGGTACTGGCAACTTTACAGGCATAACACACAACTCCTGTTATTGCCTAATGAAGAAACACAATATTTGGTGCTAATCGTGGTACAGGGTAAGAAAAAACTTCTACGTAACAATTTTCAAGCTTATATATTTTTATCAGGTTAATTAAAAACACTACCAATTTCTAAAAGCTAAGGACAGATACAATAAATATTTCATTTTTTTTTTCTTTAAAGATTTCATTCTTAACATGAGAATGTTAAAAACGCACTGCCTCTCCAGAGAAAACTTTCTTAGCAGTTCAAGAAAAGATATAAAGAAGAACGAACACAAAATAATTTGCAATGGATAATCATTTAAATGAATAATTTCCTAGATCATATAGGCATATGTAAAGATAATATCTTTTATTGCTTCCACTATTGATAATTTTAATTCAGATGTTTACATAGTAATTCTTTTTCATAGTAATTTAATTAAATACTAACCTTAGCCATGCTAGCATCCCCATCTAAATCGTAACGTGGATGTACTTTAGGGAGGGAAACTGAAATATTAAGTAAAATAATAAAAATCAGAAATAAAGTATTTTGAATAATTATTATATCCTTTATACAGCAATTTTAAAAATTAAACATTAACCTCTAAATTACCTCTAAATTAAACATTAGTAGCAAAACTCTTTAAAGTTCTTTTCCAGGTTAAAAAAAGATTACTTGAAACAATGCTCATTCCTTAACAAGAAAGTACCTGAAATATTTCTAAGGAGTTCAATTTTTTCTTAAACATATTCCCACACAATAAGCTCAATGCTTCTCTTTAAATCTAAATCAAATCCGAAAGATCCAAATAGAAAAGTAAAAATCTGGGTAATTTATTTTTTTAACCAGTAGGATTAATAATTTAAGATTCCAAAATGTAGATCTAATTTTTCTTAGACTCCAAAGCCTGGCAAAGTGTCCTATTCACACTGGACACAATAAACATTTGCTCATATTTATGATACAAAAGGTTATTTTGAGTGTTAGTAAAATACTAAAAGCAGAGAGCTACAGTAAAACATACATGACAAACTAATTTACCATTTTTTGAAACAAAGTATTTAAAGTCAAATTACTATAGTCTACAAAGGCCTTTCAATTTTATTACTAGTCTCGGTCAACTAATTTACAAAATTTTAATGTTTATGAAAATTCTACATTACTGTCATCAATCAACTTTATGAAGATGCCATTTATTTTTACAGGTCATCTTTTTTTTTTAATGGCTAGCAAGATCACTACGAAAATCCCAACTTACTTTTTTCATATATCAATCCTATGGTACTCAGAGGTTCCCGACTTACTACAAAGATGGGATTTTCCTCCGTAGTTTTAGGGAAATGCTGTGCCAGTCTTCCAGGTTCTATGACTAAACGTCGTCCTTCATATATAAGTTCTTGATTTGAAGAAATAATTTTGGTTTGTTTATACACCAGTTCATGAAATACAGTAGCACTGTGTGAGGAAAATTCAGAACATTAACTGGGATGGAGTAAGAAGTAAAAATCTTTTTTTTTTTTTTTTGTGCTGAGTACAACAACATTCATTTCTATGTGATACTTCAGATCATGGCCAGTCTATAGATACACTGCTTTGTTGATGTGGGTACTATGATGTCTATTAAACTGAAAATTCCACATAACCTGTCTAGAAAGCAATCAATTCTAAAATACTTTTATGTCTGAACACCCATGTTGGATACGTGTAGGATACAGGATTCTTAATGTTTAATAACGGGGAGCCAACACAGCAGAGCACTTTGGAGCACAGACTCTGGATCAGACTACCTGGGCTCAAATTCCAGTTCTACTTACTTGCTGAGTCACTTAAGTTACTTAACTCCTCTGTGCTAAGTTTCCTCGCCTATAAAATGCAAACAGTATCACCCACCTCACAGAACCATGGGGAGGATTAAATGCCTTAAACAGCTGAGAACAGTCTCTGCAATATGATTGTATAATATCTGTTAAATTAATGAAACCAGATTTTTTCAAAATGATATTTTGGGGAAAAAGTCAGATTCTCCCTGAATAGACCTATGCAATCAAAGAAACATTTCAGCAGCAATGCTGTGATTTGGCTCAGGCTTGAGCGGGCTTTTTATGTTCAAATGTACTCTTAAAATGAAATAGTGGCCAGCACCTATGATACTTTTTTTTTTTTTTAAAGATTTTACTTATTTGAGAGGGAGAGAGCACGAGCAGGGGGAGGACCAGAGGGAAAGGGACAAGCAGACTCCTTGCTGAGCTCAGAGCCAGACTCAGGGCTGGATCCCAGGGCCCTGAGATCATGACCTGAGCCAAAATCAAGAGTCGGCTGCTTAACTGACCGGGCCACCCAGGCGCCCCTATGATACACACTATTCAGGCTATTACATACCAAAACAAAGATGAATAATATATATTTAACCTAATGTTATATTAGTATTATTTTATTATATTGATGTTTATTTAATGTTTATAATATTACCAGTATATTATACATATTACATATTAAAATCTAAAATATGATTTTATCTAATTGGTTTTACTCCTTAATAAATTGCCAGTAAAGGTTTCTTTTTGAGTTTTAGGAGACATCAAAACTACTATTTGAATCTTCTCAAAACAGACACTAAGACACACAGAATGGGTATAATGCTTTTTCCCCCTTCATTTTAAAAAAACATTTTGAGATCACTGTAGATTCACATGCAGTTCTAAGAAAAAATACACTTTGATGCTATATACCCTTTGCCCAGTTTCTCCCAATGGTAACATTTGCATATAATATAGTATAATATTACAACCAGGATATTGATAGTGATATAATCCACCTATGATATTCAGATTTCCCTAGTTTTACATGTGTGTGTATATTCAGTTATATGTGGTTCTATCATACAGGTAGATTTTTTAAAAATAATATAGGTGTAATGTGTTTTTCTTTAGGTAAAACAAATGCTTATTACTCCAGCACCTAATAAGGGGTTTATGCCACATATGCAAATAATAACTACACTAACTATATTTAAGACTTACGCTTTAATGTTTTTTAAATGACAGGGCAGTACTCTTAAATTTTTTTTTTTTTTTAAAGTAGGTCCTATGCCTAACATGGGGTTTGAACTCAGGACCTGGAGACTAAGAGTCACATGTTCTAACAACTCAGCCAGGCAGGTGACCCTGACAGGGCAGTACTCTTAATAAAACCCAGCCCATTTACTGGTAGATGTTATTTGTGGTTATGTGATTATCTAAGAGACAAGGCGTAGAAACAGAAATAGTCTTGTGAAACTTGCAGTTTAAGAACAAACTAAGTTGCCTGTAAATTTTATAAAAGTAGAAAATTAATCCTTTCACGCCAAAAATAAGTGAAAAAAATTTACTAAGCACTCAAACATAATTTCCTAAGTGGGAAGTGGGTGCCTTTGGAGAAGCTGAGACATCTTTTCCATTTTCTCTACTAATTTAGGAAGATAATTATACAACACAACATTATGATATAGGATGAAAACATAAAGAGGTACTTACGTATTATAGCTATGAATATAAATCTTATGAGCTGTCATTTGTTGTAGCGAAAAAACATGAATTATCATTCGATGAAGTATATCACTAGTTTCGGCAAAAAACTGGTCAAAACCCCAACACTTTTCCTGATCTGCCTCCAGGATGTTTGCGAGAACAGGAGTAAGTAGAACCTGAAGACCTCTAAAATAAGTATTGAAAAAGTTACTTGAAGAGTGAATGTTGTATTTTGTCTAGGTACAAAATCATAATATTTACCAACAAATCAAAGTAACTGCTATTACTTAAGATTGATATAAAAAAATTTTTTTAAAATTCTATTTATTTGAGAGAGAGAGCACGAGCGGGGTGAGGGGCACAGGGAGAGGGAGAAGCAGGCTCCCCGCCGAGCAGGGAGCCTGATGCGGGACTTGATCCTGGGACTCCGGGATCATGACCTGAGCCACCGAGGCGCCCCTGATATAAAATTTTTAAAAATCTGCCAACTTTTCAGAAAGTCAGGTAACCCTGGTTTAAAATTACTTGTCAATGAATCAGGGGTTATGGTATTTTTAATGTTAATTTATCTTTTACTGATTATTTTCTTTGATTTGTTCCTTCCCAAGTTTTCTTACTTTTCCAAACACACTCTAACATTGTACATCCATGGCCATCCAGGTGAGATCAGTGGTTTAGAAACAGGTAGTCATGATGATAAGATAATGGTTTAATTTCAGGATCTTTAATGTCCTTTTAATACGGCTCTCCAATATATAACTTTTAATGTTGAACTTATATACCTTTTTTTTGTAGTATACTTCTTTAGGAAGTAAAATTAATATAACCATCCAGCGATCAATTAGTGCCAATTCAACTAGGGATAATTTTTGACTAATAAGCTTAAAATTTTTAAAAATGAGAAAAGAAAATAAAGACCTTTATTTTTTTCTCATGCTTTCACTGAATTATACAATATACTCAAACAGACTCTCAATTATGGAATTTCAAGTAGTTTTTAAAATATATTCTTTTTTTAAAAAATGTAGGCTCCATGCCCAGCAGGAAGCCCAAACCAGGGCATGGGCTCACAATCATGAGATCGAGACCTGAGATCAAGAGTCAGGCACTTAACTGACTGAGCCACCCAGGTGCCCCTAAAATATATTCTTGACTATGTAACAGACACTATGTAACACACTATGTAACAGACAATTCCTTGGTGTGGTTATTCTGATTAGTTAGAGGTGGACAGGTGGTAGCATGCAAGTTAGTTAAATGAGAATCAACGCAGAAATCTTTGCTATCGGTCTATCTTCCCACTGAGCTTTCAAAGCTTTGAGAATGTGAGTTGGGAATGGCAGCAGCTACCTGGTGGCTGCCAGCAGAGCCTGACCTAGAGAAAAGACAAATCAGATTGAAGAGACCAAGTCTTGATATCACAGTCTGAGTCCAAGGATTCAGCTGGGCTTTGAATCACATACACACATGAACTTCTAATTCCAAGGTCAATCTATATCCTTTTTTACTTAAACCAGCTGAGTTAGGTCTTTCTCACTTGCTACCCAGTCTTGGCTAATACATACAATGATCGTTATCTTTTTTTTTTACAGTTTTTATATTTTTGATAGTTGTTTTCATTGCTGATTTGTAGTACCTTAAAGTCCTTACTATTTAAAAAAAGAAAACAAGATTATATAATATACTTTCTAGTACCTAAGCAATTTTTATCAAAGAATTTTTAACTTGGTGTGCTAAAGACTGATAGGCAAGACCTGCTACCCTCCTGAAATATACAATCTGTAGTTCAGATTGCCAAATTACTGACTCTGAGTTTCAACAATATAATTATTAGCCAGTGTTCACTTCCTGACCCCTTTACATTTTACCAGTTTTGCCTGAAATTCCAAAAATATTTTCTAAATCAAAATTTAACACAAACTACTATTAAAATATTCAATTTCTGCTCTCCAATAAAATGAATTTCTCTTGTTAATTCTGGCTGCATGACCCAATTTCATTTTTGGAGACTTTTTTTAAGCAACACACAAAAATGAAACTGTCAGAATAGTGGTTCTCAAAAATGATTTTACACCACATTGCACACTTGAAACTAATGTAAATGTATACCCGAAACTAACATAACACTGTGTGTAAACTATACTCAAATAAAAAAAATTTTTTTTAAGTAAAAAAAAAAACAAAAACCCAAAAAACAACAAAAAAGGTTTTAGAAGAACTCTTAAGTGAGTTTCAGACATCAAAATATAGATATTTTATTAGCTTATGATATATATGGTTTACATGAGTAATATTTAATATTTAAAATATTAAATAAATATTTAAACTTATTTATTTATAGAAAGTCGTACAAAAAGGACCCACAAATTATAATAGATGTTAAGCCAGTAAATCATAACCTATGTGACTTGTAGATTACACAACTCCCACGATCAGGAAAAATGGAAGTTAATTCAGTAATCAGAAATTCTAAATATTGATGAGTGTCTTGGCTTTATTTCCAGAGTAAAATCTAAAATAATTTACTCTCTACTTTTAATTTCTTTCTCCTTAAATTCTTCTTCGTGGTAACAGAATTCATGTCTGACAATATAATTTTTTTGAGTTCTGGTTACCAAGTTAAATAAGACCCATCTGAACATTTGAAATAGTGAAAAAAATAGAAAACTATTAATTCTCACCTTTTCAATAATACGAATACTTTTAAAAATGAGGATAATATTAAACTTATTGAATGTTTGTTTTTTAGAACTCTAGTTATTCCTATTTGTACCAATGTTTGTGGTCTGTCAATATGGATGGTCAGTACAAAAGATACCAAGGTCCTAAAAGCTGAATCTCTACATTGGACAGAATTCTACAGTGATTAGCAACCTCAAAAATGTATGCCCTCTGTCCTAGTAGAGATCTGGCAAAACTATTTATATAGATCAGAATCAATCTTTACATTGCCACAAAGACAAAAATCATACTTCAAAGCACATCTAATAAATATAGGAACTAAAACCAAACTACACTAAATATTTGTGATCTTAGTCAACAAAGATTTCAAACAGCAAAGTGCAAAAGAGAACTGGATACACCATACTGACCGAGAAAGACTACAAGAAATAGGCATGTCTCCACTCCAGTCAATTGGTCCATTTTCTGCTTTCTGTACTCCAGATATTGCACCAGAAGGCTTTCCAGTAATTATTTTATACCTTGGGAGGAATAAATGCAGAATAAAATCAGTAGTTCATTACTGCATAGCATATCAATGGGCTTTGCAAAAATATTTCCTCAGTTGCACCTACAATTATCTACTAGACGAAACTTTGTGATTGATGTTCACAGGATCCATAAAACAATCAAAATACTTTGAATCTGACTGACTGAAGTAGAATAGTGGTTGTACGATTATTTTATATATGCCATAATTAATTTTCATTGGGATCTCAGAGTGCCATATAACAGCATCTTGATGTTCACAACAAAAATATTAATTTTTCCATCTGAAAAAATCGAGCAAACACAAAAAAGGTTATGTTACAGAATGTTTCTAGGCCATAAAAATCCCTTTTACCCATATTATCCAAAGGCAGGCAACTGGACTATGAAATTACCGCAGAATGAATAGCATTTTTTTTTTTTTTTTTTAAACAAGACAACACTCCACACAGCACAGTATCGGAAAGATTCTTCGCAAATTGAAAAAATACATAAACATACAGGAATAGGTGTGTGTACTAAAATTAAAAGACAAATTTAACTGGATCCTTGAGGTAGGTGATAAAAATAAAGATGACCTGGAGAAAGGGCTGCAGGGGGAGCAAAAGAATACCAGAAAGATGTAGGAAGTCAAGGAGAGCAGCCTGGCGGGTTTCAGCACTTTCCTCAACCAGTGGGAGAGAAGTAAGGGTTCCATGCCTTCAAAAATACTTTCATCCTGGGGCGCCTGGGTGGCTCAGTCGTTAAGGGTCTGCCTTCGGCTCAGGTCATGATCCCAGGGTCCTGGGATCGAGTCCCACATCAGGCTCCCTGCTCCACGGGAAGCCTGCTTCTCTCTCTCCCACTCCCCCTGCTTGTGTTCCTGCTCTCACTATGTCTCTGTCAAATAAATATATAAAATCTTAAAAAAAAAAAAATACTTTCATCCACATGAAAATGCAAAACATAATATAGCAGTCTTACATAAGTGGATAGATACTATTTCTGGCATAATTTTTAAAAAATATTTTATTTGAGAGAGAGAGAACACAAGCGGGGGGCGGGGAGCAGAGGGAGAAGCAGGCTTCCCACTGAGCAGGGAGCCCGATGTGGGGGCTCAATCCCAGGACCCTGGGACCATGACCTGAGCCGAAGGCAAACGCTTGACTGACTGAGCCACCCGGGCGCCCCTCCGGCATAATTTTTTGTTTGTTTGTTTAAGGTCTACATAAATGTGCTCTGAGCAAACCAATATATTCTTTATAAAAGCAGAAGACACCAGGTACCACTGATCTGGACCACGTGCTGCTTTCTCAGGAGAGGCACCCAGGAGTTCTGCCTTAAAATATTTTTCAAAGAAGCAATTTAATGTGAAAAATAAGTTGCATTCACATGAGAAAGATCTGACTGTGGAGGAGTAAGTAGAGATATGTGAGACTAATGCAAGAAAGAAGTGAATAGAATGATGGCAGAATCCTTAAAATTTTTGGAAAAGCTTTACTAATTTTGATAAGACCCACATATAAATATACTAATAACACGTAAATGAAATGTTGAGGGAACAACACTACTATAATGTGAGACAAATGCATCCTGCAATAGTAAAAGTTTTTATTACTATTTTAAGCACCTCTGAACATTATCAATGTTCATGAAAAGCTGTGCATATAAAGAAATAAATTCTTCTAATGGTATATCTGTGCACATGATGACAAAATTATCAGGTATTCCTAGTTGCTGATGAGTCACACGTTTCCTTTATTAGGGAGCATCCCATGCTTTTATTTAAACCAATCTTAGGGCAGCAAGAAATGTGCAAAAGCTTTAAAGTGTATGTGTGACAACAAAAACATGATTAAACTGTTAGGTACAATTTATGTTTAATGAGAAAAACACAAATTGCTCTCAGCCTTCATTAATGAAGAGATTTTATAAAATGGGCACTGCTTTAAAGCAGGCTCAAAATGACGTTATACCAAAATCATCAGTACAGTAATGGATTTTTCCCATGAATTTGCAGATTATTCTTGCTGAAAATATTTAGATATCCAGGTTTTAGCAAAAGTCATTGTATCAGCTGGTTTTACCTCCTCAAATCAACAAACAGAAAAACATCCTTCTCCCTCAATTTCCTGAAGTGAGATTAGATGAAATTATATTTTTATAGTTGTGATTATTCAAGTCATGTTTGCTTACAAAAGGCAGGGTTAAATATAAAAGTCTGAGAGAAATGTTAAGATCTAAAGAATGACTGGATACACTGGACTGCCTCTCCCTCTGCCTGCTGCCCGCCTTGCTTGTTCTCTCTCTCGCTGTCAAATAAATAAATAAAATCTTAAAAAAAAAATTTCACATCTAGAATTCCATCTCTTTCCTCCCTTTTGAGAGAGAGAGAGAGAGACAGAGAGAGAGAACATGAGAGGACAGGGAGGGGCAGAGGGAGAGGGAGAAGCAGGCTCCCCACTGAGCAGGGAGCCTGACGTGGGACTTGATCCCAGCACTCGGGGATCATGACCTGAGCTGAAGACAGATGCTTAACCCACTGAGCTACCCAGCTGCCCCTCTCCTTCCTCCTTTATATTTATTTGGTTTACAACAGTGATTTTATTTTATTTTATTTTAAATGTTTTATTTATTTATTCATGAGAGTCACAGAGAGAGAGAGAGAGAGGCAGAAGGAAAAGCAGGCTCCCTGCTGAGCAGGGAGCCCGATGCAGGACTCGATCCCAGAACCCTAGGATCATGACCTGAGCCGAAGGCAGACGCTTAACCATCTGAGCCACCCAGGCGCCCCTACAACAGTGATTTTATACAGTAACTGTTTCCCAATAATTATGGCAGTATATAAAGGTATAATGTACTAGTAAAATACATTCAGTCTTTGGACTGAAACCACAACACTAGAAAAAAATTTATTAAATGTTATATATATGTATATTATATGTTATTTTTGAAATGGTAAAAGAAATCAGATCAGTTCAGGGTAAAAATTTCATTTCTTTTTTTTTTTTTTATTTCTTTTAGATCTGGTAATGGTTCTAGTACTCCACAGAAACACTATTTTTTTTCAGTTATATAAAGGAAAAACCCCCAATAAGTAGTACACAAAGAGAAATAAACAGTGTGCTGAAAAAGAATCCAGAGAGCAGGATATTTTTAATAACGGACCAAAGACTGATGCCATTTTCACTTTGTATATAAGATACTTAAACACAATATGAAAAATTATGCCTATATACTTTATAAAGCTGTATTCTTATTCAAAACAAAATAGCTTAAAATATCAGAAATGATGGCTAAAATTAATTTTCATTAGTATACACCCCTAATGTGTGATGAAACAAAGACAAAAATACATTTTTAAAATTATTTCAAATTTTAGATAGAGAAACCACTTACATCACTTCCTTATTCCTACGTGGCCCTTCAAATGGTCTAAATGGCAGTGATCCAGTAGCTGCATGGTAAAATGTTACCCCAATGCTCCAAAGATCAACTGTTGCTCCATACTTCTTCTGATGATCTTTTCTTAGTACTGCTCTCTCATACATATCAGGATGCTTAAAAAAAAAAAGATGAAGAAACGAACTTGGGTTCTATAGTAATACATTACACACAAATGGGTATTCAATAACACCTACAAATTCCATCATATCAATCAGAGATCAATTCTCCCTATGCCTTTTATCAAATACCAACCTATCTGAATCTGTGTCCAGACTCCAGGCCTACTTTCCAGTTACGATGGAACTGCTCCTATTAAGGGCTGACTTTTTCATCTGTGCTGTGGAACCCACCCTATTGTCTCACCAATTCCAGAAATCCGTTCCTGCAATTACCCCTTTTATGTATCAATTTCCCCCTACTGGATCATTCCTTTCAGCTTACATACATACTTTAAGATCTCCCATTTTCTTTCTCTTTTTGGGGGGCGCGGGAGAGGGAGAGAGAGAATCTTAAGCAGGCTCCACACCCAGCACAGAGCCCAATGCAGGGCTTGATCTCGCAATCCTGCGATCATGACTTTAGCTGAAATCAAGAGTCACTTATCTGACTGAGCCACCCAGGCATCCCTAAGATCTCCCATTTTTTTTTTTTAAAACCCTAAATTGACCCCACCACCCTTTCTACCTATGACCCAATTCTCTGCTTCCCACCATAGCAAAACTTCTCAAAATAGCTGTTCACACTTACAACTGCCTTATTTCCTCATCTCCTATTTAGGCCTATGGCATTAAATATTATCTATATACTTTATTTTTAAGATTTTATTTATTTGACAGAGAGAGAGACAGCACAAGCAGGCAGAGCAGCAGGCACAAGGAGGGGCAGAGGGAGAAGCAGGCTCCCTGCTGAGCAGGGAGCCCAATACGGGGGCTTGATCCCAGGACCCCAGGATCATGATCTGAGTCGAAGGCAAACGCTTAACCAACTGAGCCACCCAGGTGCCCCTTATCTATATACTTTAACTCCCAAAACTATCTCCCGCCCTGAGCTCCAGATTCATATATTCTACTATTTTCTTTAATATCTAAAAAGTAGCTCAAACTTCACATATATAAAATAGACTCTTGGTCTTCACTCTCAAACTGGTTTCCTTCTAATCTTTATCCTCTAAGTAAGCAATACCACTATCTATCCAGTTGCTTATACCCCAAACCTTTCAGGCAGCCTTGATGCCTTTTCCTCATCCCTGACATGCAGTCCATCAGAGCAAGTCAGATGGATTCTGAGATAAAAATCAAATTTTCTAAAATTATTTCAGAGGACTAGCCTGACTGGGTTGACTGGGGATGTAGCAACCCAGACAAGCAGCTGATCATCAGACTTTAAACACATGACTTTAAGCCCAGGAGACACTATATTAGAGTTCCGGAGTAGAGATAAATCGTACAGGACATGACTTAGGAGCTTACAGGTCCAGACAGAGATTCTGATGGACATTTAGCTCTGCAGAATACAACCAGGAGTCATACATGCTTAGCCTCCTGACATTTGCCTTTACAGAAGTTATGCATTAGAACTTTAAGATTCTTGGAAGATAAAGCTACAAGAGTGTACTATGGACCAAAGTAGAGTAGAGATGACCAAAGATTTGATCATCTAAATCAAAACAAATGCCTTATGACATTGTGGTATGTGGCTATGGCCCAAGGGCCCAGGAACCAATGCAGATAACACTACTAGGAGGGTGTTTCTAAATGATGCAATCTATGAATCTGACTCCCAAAGGGTCACAATCCCTGGGTTTTGTGTGTGGTGTGTAGGAGGGGTGGGAGGTGGGGATGGCTCCATAAATTATTTTTCAAATTTCTATTTTTTAAGATACATTGGGCCTTTCTCTACCTGTTCTCTCGCTCTCTCTTTTTTAAAGATTTTATTTATTTATTTATTTATTTGACAGAGATAGAACAGTGAGAGAGGGAACACAGCAGGGGGAGTGGGAGAGGGAGAAGCAGGCCTCCCGCCGAGCAGCGAACCCGACGCGGAGCTCGATATCCAAAGGCAGACGCTTAACGACTGAGCCACCCAGGTGCCCCAGAATCTGACTTTAAAGATAAAGCCCAGAGCCATGAGCAGTTAGTGATAGCTTTATATTATAAGCTTCCTGATTACATGTTAAATGTACTTACTTATTTTAAATTTTTATTAATGAAATATAGTTGACATACAGTGTTATTTTAGTTTCAGGTGTACAACATAGTGATTCAATAATTCTAGGGGTACCTGGCTGGCTCAATCAGTAGAGCATGCAACTCTTGATCTCAGGGTTGTGAGTTCGAGCCCCACATTGGGTGGGGAGCCTACTTAAAAAAAAAATTCTACACATTACACAAAGCTCACCACTACATATGTAGTTACCACAAGCAAAGGAAATGAAAGGAAAAATAAAGTACTGGGACTACACCAAAATAAAAAGCTTCTGCACAGCAAAGGAAACCATCAATGAAATGAAAAGGCAATCTACTAAATAGGAGAAAATATTCGCAAATGATATCTCCGTTAGGGTGTTAATATCCAAGACACATAAAGAACTCATACAGGGGAGCCTGGCTGGTTTAATCAGTGGAGCATGCGCCTCCTGATCTTGGGGTTGTTAGTTCAAGCCGCGTGTTGGGTGTAGAGATTTCTCAAAAAGAAAAAAGAAGAACTCATACCACACCAAAAAACCCACAAATAATTCAATTAACAAATGGGAAGAAGACCTGAAAAAACATTTTTTCTGAAGAAGACACACAGATGGCCAATGGTCACAGGTAAAGATGCTCAACATCACTTAATCATCAGGGAAAAACAAATCAAAATCATGAGATACCACCTCACACCAGTCAGAATGGCTAGTATAAAAAGACAAGAAATAACAAGTGTTGGCAAGGATGTGGAGAAAAGGAGGGAATCTTCAGGCACTGTTGCTGGGAATGTAAATTGGTGCAGCCACATGGAAAATAGTATGGTGGTTCCTTGAAAAATTAAATATACTTACTTTTAAGTATATTTTCGTAAGTGTTTCAAGCGCTTACTAACTTTTCACAAACACATCTACACAGTTTCAAACAGAGCTTTTCTAGCTTTCTAGCATTTCAAGTTAGATCTTTTCAAAAGCATTTCATTTTTTGTGTTTCTAATAATGTTCCTTTCTGTATTTCAATAACCAACCTCCCTGAATAGAATCTTCTGCTTCAGAATTGTAATGAATTTTGCTCTACAGGGGATATCATGATAACAAGCTTGTAATATGTTAACTGCTCTGATCCAAAAAAGGGAGCATTTACTAGCTACATGCTTCTGAAACGTATATATAGCTTTTGCTTTTAATATAGATCCATAGCATTAGTAAAATTAAAGAACTTGAGTTTTATAAAACTTGTAAGAATTTTTAACAGAGGGGCGCCTGGGTGATGCAGTCGTTAAGCGTCTGCCTTCGGCTCAGGTCATGATCCCAGAGTCCCAGGATCGAACCCCGCATTGGGCTCCCTGCTCAGTGGGAAGCCTGCTTCTCCCTCTCCCACCCCCTCTGCTTGTGTTCCCTCTCTCGCTGTGTGTCTCTCTCTCTCTGTCAAATAAATAAATGAAATCTTTATTTAAAAAAAAGAATTTCTAACAGAAAAATAACAGCATCCTTAGATACCAATATCTAATTCCCTCATTACACACCATATACATGAGAATAAAGTTTAATTTTTGTCATAAAAGTTACTAAGACATTTTATAGTGAACTAGTTTGACCAGTTACTCATTATTTACAACATATTCAGCTTTAAATAAATTAGTGATACCTGACTTACCAAATATTCTTCTGTGCCATACAGAGAAACAAACTGCTCATCATCTTCTAATTCTCTAGCTGCGCCAAAATCTGTGAGTTTGTACACAGACTGCCCATCTTCCCCTATAACACGCATGATATTTCCTGGCTTGATATCGCGGTGTACTATGCCATTCTCTCGGAGATGATTCATTCCACCGACTTATTAAAATAAAACAAAGGAAATCATAATGTAGGCATCTACGTGTATGCACATCAAATTCATTCATATTCACTCAATATGTTTTTCCATAAGTTGGTCTAAAATCATTTTTACCAAAGAAGGAATAAACGGTATTTACATTTTATATCTCATGTCTGAGTAACAGAGTTTAAGAATAAGGATCAATATGGTCTAGGGAAGAGTCCAATCTCTCTTAATTAAGTACTATTAGGAAATGGAACAAAATGGTCTTAAGCATATGACTTCCTGAATTACTTTTAGTTATATACATGTGGGTAATCTGCCTAAACTTAAGAATAATGATTCCTGAGAAATTACCAATCTTTCACTACAGTTTCATATTTCTTTAGCTTGGGAAAAAATTCCATAAAAAAGTAAACTGCACTCAATACATAAAACAGTAAAAAAGTAATAGAAGCAAAGTGTCAGACTGGCTTCCACAGACCTATATTTCTTACATGCTTAAAGCTATTCTTCAAAGGTCATTTTCCTTTTTTTTTTAAGGGTAAAGGTGGCTACATTGCTGAAATTAAACTGTTCTGGCTAACTGACAAGCAGTGCCACTGTACGCCAGTATGAAAGATTTGACAGCTGACAGATGAATGTCCAAATATAACATATGAAAATAAACTTAGGGGTATCACATTCAATTATGAAAATTCAGGGTTACCGGTATACTTAGGAAGTCATCAATTATCTATAACTTCTACTTGGTTAAACAGGCTGTAGCATATATTATTTCTCTCTCCTCTTATCCTCGCCTAAGGGGTCTCCACACTGCTTCCAGTGTCAAGTTCAAGAATTCCCACTAACCTTATGCCTTCTTTATCACTGGACTTTTCCCATTCCTCAAATACTGATTCATTTCTCGTCAAGAAGATATTATTCCCTTTGGTTGCCATATTCTTTTTTTTTTTAAATAGCTTTGAGATAAAATTCATGTATCATAAAATTCAGCCTTTTAAAGTATACAATTGAGTAGTTTTTAGAAGAGTCAAAGTGTACAACCATCACCACTATTTTCAGAACATTTTCATTATGCCAAAAAGAAACCCCATACCCATTAGCAGTCACTCCTCAACTCTGCCATCCCCTCAAACCCCTGGCAATGACTAATCTGCTTTCTGTCTCTATGGATTTGCCTATTCTGAACATTTCATACAAATGAAATCATAAATATTGTGACCTTTGTGTCTGGTTTCCTTCACTTAGCATAATTTTTCAAGGCGCATCAATGTAACGGCATGTATCACTACTTTATTTCTCTCTTTTTTTTAAAGTAAGCTCTAGGCCCGACTCGTGACCCCAAGATCAAGAGTCACATGCTCTACCGGTTGAGTGAGCCAAGTGCCCCATTTTCTTTTTCATGAAGGAGTAATATGTCATTGCATGGATAATGGACATTTTGTTTATACATCAGTTGATGAACACCTGGGCTACTTCCATTTTTGGGTATTATGAATACTGGTGTACAAGTTTTTGTGTGGATATGTTTTTAATTCTTTTAGGTAAATACCTAGCAATGGAACTGCTAAGTCACATGGTAATTCTATGTTTAATCTCTTGAGGAACTGCTAAGACTGTTTTCCAAAGTGGCTGTACCTTTTTACGATCCCACCAGCTGTATATGAGGGTCCAACTTCTTCACATCCTTGCCAACACCTGTTTTTGTTTTGTCTTTTTTTAAAATTAATTTATTTAAGAGAGAGAGAGAGACAGCACATGCATGAGTAGGGGGAGGTGCAGAGGGACAGGATCACAAGCAGACTCCCTGCTGAGCAAGGAGCCCAAGGCCGGGCTCGATCTCATGAACCTGAGATCATGACCTAAGGTGAAACCAAGAAGTGGATGCTCAACTGAATGAGCCACCCAGGCGCCCCTGTTTTATCTTTTAGATTTGGCCATGCTAGTGGGTATTTAGTGCTATCACTTTGTGGTTTTGATTTGCATTTCCCTAATGACAAATAATCTTGAGTAACTTTCTGTGTGCTTGTGGGCCATATATGTACATCTTCTTTGGAGAAATGTTTATCAAAATCATTTACCTATTTTTATTTATTTTTTCTTTTTGCCCATTTTTAAATTGGGTCATTTGTCTTTTGATTAAGTTGTCAGGATAAAAAATCCTTATCAGATATACAATTTGTAAATATCTTCTCTCATTCTATGGGTTGTCTTTTCACTTACTTGATACTGTCCTCTGAAACAAAGGTTTTTAATGTTGATGAAGTTCAATTTATCTATTTTTTCTTTTTGTATGTATACTCTTGGTGTCATATCTAAGAAAGTACTGCATAAAGGTCTTTGGTTTTGAATATAAAAATAATGTATTACTTTTAAAATTCTTATGTCATTAGGAGGACTTGGGTGGCTCAGTCGGTTAAGGGTCAGACTCTTGATTACGGCTTGGGTCTTGATCTTGGGGTCATGAGTTCGAGCCCTGTGTTGGGCTCCATGCTGGGTGTGGAGCCTACTTAAAAAAAAAAAACAACTCTTGGGGCACCTGGATGGTTCAGTTGATTAAGCACCTGCCTTTGACTCAGGTCATGATCCCGGGGTCCCGGGATCAAGCCCTGCATCGGGCTCCCTACTCAGTGGGGAGTCTGCTTCCCCCCCCCGTTCCTCTCACCACTCGTGCTCTCTCTCTCTGTCTCTCAAATAAATAAAATCTTTTAAAAAAAATTCTGTCATTAAATTATATACACCTATTATCTATAAAATCAGATAGACAAACGTACCCACATCTCGCAAAACAATTAAAAATTCAGACTCTGGTAGTCCATAGGCATTAGATGGCTCTTCTAAAACAGTGTATAAACTTCCGCATGGACAAAATTCCATAATAAGTACTTTATGTCTTGTTGTTGTCTGGAAAAAAAAAAAAATCACTGATTGGGACTCAAAAAGTAAGTTTTTATTACATGCTAGTACTTATCTGATTTCACTTAAACGTAGAATATACTACAATAACAAAGGCACTGTGAATTGCTTTACCTGGGATTTGTTAAATAAGTATTGACTATACTCATATAACGATTAAGATCTAAATTCCCATTGGATCTGTTTTTGAAGACGATCAAACCACCATGAAAGCCGGCTAAATCTGAAACAGAAAATCACTGCTACACTGTTATAATGGTTCTTTAAAAATTTCTAATACATAATAGTACATTTAGGACATTAATCTTCTAACAGATCTCTTAAAACACTTGAAATTCTTCTCATGACAAGTACTTTTACTTCAGGGAATAGAGTGCTAGCCTTAAAAACAAATGGCAGAATAGCTGAGTGGTCCCTTTCATAGCAAAGTGCTAGTCTGCAGATTTGCATTTGAGCTGCTTATTTGTTTTAAACCTTTTAACGTACCACTGATTGTAAGATACACTATCAATTTAGTAACAGCTTTATAGGGAAAAAGAAATACTATCAAATTACATATACACACTGATTATAAGATATATGCCCATTTCAGGAACTTAAAAATGTGATTATGAGTCTTAAAATCCAGTATTCATTTCCAAAAAAAATTTTGTAGTCATCTCCAATTTTTTATCCTTCCTTCCTCTTATAATTTTTTCTGCATATCCCCAAAATACTTTTATTTTTTTTTAAAGATTTTATTTACTTATTTGAGGGGGAGAGAGAGTGGGGGAAGGTCAGAGGGAGAAGCAGAGGGAGAGCACGAGAGGGGGGAGGGTCAGAGAGAGAGAGAGCACGAGAGGAGGGAGGGTCAGAGGGAGAAGCAGACTTCCTACTGAGCAGGAAGCCCAATGTGGGACTCCATCCTGGGACTCCGGGATCATGACCTGAGCCGAAGGCAGTCACTTAACCAACTGAGCCACCCAGGCTCCCCCCAAAACACTTTTAAAAACTATTTTATTTATTTTTAAAAAGATTTTATTTATTTATTTGACAGAGGGAGCGAGAGGGAGAGAGGGAGCATAAGTTGGGGGGAGGGGCAGAGGGAGAAGCAGACTCCTCACTGAGCAGGGAGCCCGACGCGGGGCTCGATCCCAGGACCCCGAGAT